CCCAGACATGTCCTCACAGACTCCATGTGGGACAGCTCTCGGGCATAACCCAGGGTATCCCAAACAGGATAGAGACCACCCCGGTCTCGGGCTTCTTACGACAAGTCGTGAAGTCCTTAAGGGGAATGCGGTGTGGCGCGAGAAGCACACACCGAGCAGCCTCCACGTTGTCGACGAACAACTGTTCTTTCTGAACAAGGGCTCGTTCATAGATGCCCCTAGAAGTGTGGCCGCCCACAAGGCCACGAAGAGCGACGAGAAGCTCTAAGAAGAGGTCAGCCCCAGAGCTCTCCTCGGGAGGCCAATACCCTCTTGAGTTGATGGCAGCTCCCTGGCTGACGGGTGCCGCCACCGAACCCCCACGCACACGCTGGGCAGCTTGGAAATCCTCCTGCTGCTGGTCGAGGTCATTCGAGACCTCCCGGGGCTCAACAATGGCGCCCTCCTCTTCCTCTTCTTCCTCCTTCTCCTCCTCTTCATCCGAGGAGCCGAAGAGACTCTGATAGGAGCGTCGAGTCTCCTTCTCCTCGCGGAGTGGAGACTTAGAGGCGGTACGCTTTCTTTGAGGGCTTGGCGCCTTCGGCTTTAGAGGCCTTAGCGCGCGCAAGACCCTCGGCAAGCGAGAGACGTTTGCGAGGACTCCCTTCCTCATCGCCACCGGCTTTGGGAGTGCCCTTTAGCCTTAACGGCCGGACTCTCAGAGCGCACAGAGGTCCTGGGACTGTGATCACCGTGATCACTAGCGGACGACTGCACGCTGTCTTCTTTGTGCTCACTGGGCACTGGGCTGTGCCCTCCCACAGAGCCCGCAGGAGCATCATGAGTGCTCTCGGACTCGGCATCGTCCTCACTGCCCGAGTTGAACTCACGTTCTACGAACCGAGGGTTCGGACGATTGTCTGAAGACGAGGGCGACGGACTGCGGCGCCTGCTTGCGCGCTTGTCCGCAGCCGCGTCACCCGAGGATCCGATCGCCTCGGAGGCCACCTGAGTAGCCTCCTTAAGTGCAGAGCCTTTGCCGTGAGGCTTAGTGCTCTTGGCCTGCGCCTTACCGGCTGCAGCCTTGGAGCGTGTCTTAGCACCGCTCTTAGCAGTGCCACGAGGCATGTTAACGGTCGAAGTGGAGACCTTGACGAAGAGCGCACAGGTTGCTGCTCGAGGCTCTAACTGTAAAGTGAGCCTCCGCCGCGCTCGCGCGGCCGAGTCGATGGTTTTCGACTTTGAGAATGAGAGTTTGTGACGAACATCTCTTCATTCTGATTGGTCGGTAAACCGAACCTAAGTGGGGGAGGATGTAACGGGGTACGTAGCACTAAGTGTACCCTGGTTACATGAAGTGTGACACTTCACACTTCAGGAGTATGACATGTCATACTCCGGGATATTTGGTACAAGGTACCAAGGTCATTCAAAACCAACCATTGGTTAAATGACATTGCATTTCTATAGGTAACTGATAGTTTGTATTAACCACAAACTTAACCTACCTATAAATATACTCAGTTTACAATCTACCTTATTTAGGTCACTCCGCTCTCTTTAATTAAAGAGGGGACCTGTGAACTGCCGTTCACTGAGAGTTTGTATACTCTCGGAAGATAACTTCCTCTAGCGCAAGGTGCTGTGTGACCCCGTCACACTTTAGGACTCCTAGTAGGACGCATTCTCTCCTACCGAGCGGGCGACAGCTCGGGAGATTTGATTATCTTCGTGGCAGAAACTTCAAGATACTCGGAGAAGGCCCCGATGGCTGGAAATGACACAAGAAGTAAGACCACTGGACGTTGACATTGTGCATGTAGCAAGCAAACTTACACGAGTAGGCGACGTTGTCTCCGACCTTGATATGGCTCACACTTTGACCCACGTCAACAACAACTCCCGCTATAGACGAAAAACTCACCAAAGATTTAGCTAAAGACATTCAAAGTCG